AAGTTGTAACTTCTTAGTAAATTTAACAGCGTCCTTAACTTTTTTATGTTCACCATTACACCGATGGAGAAATATGTTTGGTTTAACCTTTTATAATAAAATGTTACAGTGCTATAAACTGAGATTGCGTGGCTCCAGTTGGCCTGTATCACATTTGTTTACAAGTAGTCCATCAGGAAATTTGTGTTTGTGAACTACAGTATATCACTAATAAATTAATATCAGCAGGAAAAATAGAATAGCCCTATCATAAGAATTAAGGTAACAGCAATAAAGGATGACTAAATTAGTTTAGTCTTTATTTTTGCTTTTTTACATCTATATATTCCTCTAACAGGCAGGTTACATAATAAATGGCATAGGTCTTTGCTCAGGGCTTTTATGTGCAGATGGGCCTTGAAATGTCTTAGCAATATTTTGCTTCCTAGAACCAATTTGAAGTTGAAGGTCTCCCCCACATAAAACGACAGCATGCTGAAAATTCAGAGTATTCGCCACTTGAGGACCTGACAAGGACTCAGGCACTGCCCTGTAATGTATGTACTGTACAGTATATCTTATATTACTTCCCTTTGGCACTGAATTCAGCTTTTCATTTTCCTTGAGTGAGGCCTGCAGTTTCCCTTGCAATTAATATTATACAGAATAACATTACTTAGGTAATGTATTTTATAACTGCTATGTAGCTGAAAGCCTTCTAGACCTTTCAAAATTGCTTGACCGTATATTTGAAATAGAGGGCCTTTGATATGTAGCAACAGGTTATGCAATGGGAAATTGAATATTTGGTTTGTAAGTTCTGCTTAAAGTTCTTAATGAGTAGTTTTGAATTCTTTCTTGATAATTCTAAATGATGATTAAAGGTACTTATAGTCTTAAAGTGGTAACCTCCCAGATCATTATCTACAGCTTTAAACATGCCTTATTTTAGTGTTTACAGCATCAAACTATAAAGCCAAGGGCAAGCAGGGCTTTGTAATAAACAAATTGTTTATTGAAACAACCTAGTAAAACTCTTTTTTTAGCTTACACTTTAAGGTAGCAGGGTAAAACATTTTCAAGGTATAAATATGCATGCAGGGAACAGCCAAAAACCCATCAGATTGTATTTTTCTGAACTAATATTCAGAAAAAAATAATAAATTGTTATAAAATAATAAAGTGTAATTAAAGAAATGTAACAAGTTTCTAGAGTTATTAAAGCAACAAAAAGTAAGATATTGCTACAGTGTGCATACCCTTAGCTAATTAAATCTCTATTCAAATCCAGGCCAGTACAAATTTACTGAGTGCTCCTTCAATTTAACTTACTTAAAATTCTTTTCACCTAGCACTCTTTGAGAACTGTCCTTAGCTTCACATTTTGGGTAACAATAACTGCATTATGCTGTTTATCTGAAGGTGTCTCCAAACGGATCAGACTTCAGATTTATTCTTTTAGAAAATAGAACCAAGAAACAAGTGCTAACCAGTTAGGTGACATGCACTTTTGCACCAAATACACCAAAATGTTTATGAGGGTTAGTGGATGCTACGATAAATGCCTTATTTTGTTTGAAGGACAAGTTAATAACTTCCCTGCTTCGTACAGTCACTAGGATGATGTATGGTTGGGGATATACGGTGCCTTCTGTTATGTGAAAGGCAGTGCATCAAGTCCTGACAGTGACAGCTAGGTTACAGATAGAATCGGAATAAAGCAACCATCAGGACAAGTCCTACTTGGCACAAGGGGCCTGGTTATCAGATTTAGCACAGTGAGCTTCAAAGTCTGATTGCAAAAGAACAAAAAAACTAAACAAAATGCATAGCATACACATAACAGGAAAGATCTTATTAGAAGTCGGATGAGCTTATGTTTGTTTCCAGTCAAAACACGTACATGCAGATACTGTACTGTGAAATGCTTTTAAAATAATTATTGGGTACAACGTGAATACACTGTGTTAATTCTTCAGAAAAGAGTTCCAAAGCAATTGGGAACAGTAAACAGTGGTTAAAAGTGCTATAGCATTCAAACAGTCCACAAGTAGTAATTCACTTTCTTGACTCCTATTTGTATGCTGAGAATTTAAACTGAATTGAAATGTTGTTGGGTGACACAGTGGCGCAGTGTTTAGCGTTTCTGCTTCGCAGCACTGGGCCCCTGGGTTCAATTCCGGACCTGGTAGGTTAATTTGGATTCTGGGAAAACCTGAATCCAAATCCAAAAATTCTGGTCCTGTGCGTGTCATTGTCTGCATATACTCTGAAGTATCCAGCCTTCTGCTGTTGCTTGTAGGGATAGGCCTCGGTTCCCCAGTGACCCTGAATTGGATAGAGTGGTTAGAAAATAAATGGATGAAATGTTTTTGTTGTTAAATAGGGAGCAAACATTTGAAACACATTGATAAGCATAAAGAACACACAGTAGTAGAAGAAAATAATAAAAGAGTTGAAGCACATCCATAAGTACCCAGCTCATCTAATTATTCTTTGGTTGTGCCTGAACAGAGGTTCTGGAGACTTTAATCAGTGTACTTTATTCTCAGTTACTGTTAAAACACCTTATAACTAGCTTTCTGGGTAAATGCCTTATTATTTTATTACTTTTTCCAAGTGAATTTAATCATAAAAATTGAAAACAAAACTTTTATTAAAAATATTGGTACAGACAATAGTGTTTCCATAAGAATTTGCTAGGCTGTGTAGTATCATCTTTTTATCATGCACTGCAGTTATGAGCTGAAATCAGAATTAGTCCTAGTGTTGCTGTGACTTGATATCGGTATTCCATGGAAGGTGTTAGTTTTAGACAATACAGTATTAAAAATTTCCTAATGGACTCTCTTAATTGATTACATTCTGTTATTGATATATCAACTTGATATTTTTTTTTAGTTCAAATATTACAATACTGTATTGTATGCATCATAAGAATACACCACTTTTTGTTTTGGAGTAGTTGTAGGAAGAGGTGGGAGGTGTAACAGTTTCCTGTATTTACTTCTGTGACAGATGATCACGTTCTGAAAGAAGCAGGATTGTGTCATCACCTTATAATTGGGATCCCCCTCTGATTGTGTTGAGTCACCCTGTGAATGACAGAACTTGGCAAAAAAGAGAAGTGTAGTTTTCTTTTTATAGTCAAGAACACAAAGAAACAAAAACTAAAAGAACATCCAAAAAACAATCAAGATGTTCAAGGACAGAGTGTGTTATATTTTGACAACACACTGATTCTGACAATAACAACTTCCTGTTATAGTGGTTTAAACAGTTCCTCCATAGTTGTATTGACTTTTTTCCAAAGTCGTTTGAATTTCTCCTTGTGAAGTACAGTATGTTATTACACCAATAGACAGGGAAGGAGCTTTTTCTCTGTACACATTGCTTTCTCATCTCCCCACGTAGTTTTCCAACAGGCCTTTAACCTGTGGAGCATCAGATGCATTATTTGACAAACCAACCAAAATGTCCTTATTCTAGTTTTCGTAGTTTCTAGGGCCTTTTTTAAAAGTTTGGAAAGGTAAAGTGTAATGTACATTGTACAAATGGTTTTGCAGAAGTTAATTGGAACTAATAACTTATGGTTGTGAAATCCATGTACTGCAGTATAACCTTCATTAAGGCTTTTCTCTCCCATTTCTCAGGACATTTGAAATTCATTCTGAGGTGTTTAAGAATCCGTATTAAGTTAATGTTTTACAGAAGCAAGTAACTTGATGTTCTGTGGCTCTTCTTAACCTGGTCATTAGCATAGTGTGGAACATGGTGTTACAGATCAGGCTGTGCGCAGTTGATCTATGGAATTTGAATTCGTAAACCCCACCATACAGGCTGTGTAAACAGTGTTCTGTGCCTCCCCCAGTCATCACTCAGGTGTTCTTCTAAGATCAAGGTTATTGTTTTTTTCTCCATGCTTTCATTTTCTTCCTTGAATTCATGCAATGTGTGCTTAATTGTTCAAGTTAAATTAACAGCTTATTAATATAATATATAAAGTCTGTATAACATGCCCAGGCACTTATAAATATTAAATCAGCAAGGTGCACCGGGGGTCTTTATTATAACAAGTACAGTAAGTTTCTTAACACACCAAACTTATAGCTAGAGTTATTTGAAATATAATACCAGAGGTTTCAAGATTTTGTTTTCAAGAGGGTTTGTAATTTATGATTTGTGAGCCCTGTTTGGTTTTAACCTTAGTTCGGACAAAAGCCAGTTTAAGGTGACTCTTAAATATTATTTTCATGGGGAAATTGTGACGCAAGTAATGTTAGTTTGTAAGACACAAGTGTACTGCTCTAGTCAGTTACAGATTAAATAGTATCAAAATCATAATTGGTAGGTTCACAGTAAGCATACTCAAATTGTGTATTTCTCTAAAATTGAAAATTGTATTTGTATGATACTATAATATACATTAACTCCAGTGTACTGTGTTATCTCAAATCCTTATCTGTGCACATTTGACCTTCCATCCACAAGATGGCATACACAAATAAGCGGAATGGTAAATCCCTTTTCTGTACAGAATTCCACAATGACACCTAGCAAGACTAGTGAAGGTTAAAGAGATTTTTCAACTAAATCCTTGGTATTAAAACAAGCATTTAGAATTTCAATTTATAAAATGTATTAGAAAGAAATTACCTACTCTTGTATGTTGAAAAGAATCTAATCAAGTAATTATCTTACTGATATTAAAGCTGTTTGCTATGATTTGAACTAAGTGCGTCTGTGATCTTTCTATAAAAATGGCAATCGCTTAGCTTTAAAGGGACATGGGGAGTGAATGGTACTGCAGAAAAGGACCAGTGCTTCCCTTCTTAGTTCTTGGTATAAATACTGAGTAAGGAAAATGCATCAAATGGGGAAACAATGCAGCTTTATTAATTAGACTTTTCAGGATGTCTTTGAATGGAACCTGTGGTTCCCTGTTACACATGAATATACACTGTATAATGCACGTGTGTGTTTCAGTCATTAATGATTTGATGGTTTTCACTTCTTTTCAGAGTCAAGAAGAACGCTTTTCATTTCTTGCAGAATGGTATGATCCCAATGCTGCCCTCCTTCGACGTTATCAGCTTCTGTTTTACCCCAAAGATGGGTCAGTGGAAATGGTAAGATGAAAGCCTATCTGCTTAAATAAACACATTATGTTATAGTTTGGAATATACTAAAAATGTTTGTGCACTCATGTAAAACCTATAATGTAAGCATACTTTTAGGTTAAATTCAAAGTACGACTGAAACTGAACCTGTACTTTTTAATTTTTTTTAGATGATCAGTTAGTTCTGTCTCGGCACCATTTCTTTCCTAGTACGCAGACTGTAACTGTGATTCAGTGAAATTGTAGTCATGTTTTACAGAAGAGTAAATTGCAATCTTTTGTGTGTCATACTGCTACAAATTATTTTTTATGTGAATAAAAACTGATGTTTCTTGCACAGTCAGGTAGACATACTACTACATGATTGCGTATTTACAAGACAAGTGTGAATGTTTACACCCAATTTTGAATTTAACCCAACACACACTCCCTTCCCAGCCACACTGATCCAGAAATAACGAAGGCAAACAAAAGTCTGTTTTTGCTGTCAGGTTGATGGCCCCACTTTGTATTTTGGAAAGGAAACTGCAAGGTTTCAGTGCTACTGGGAAGTTAGTCACATAGCTATATATGTACTCAGTTTGTTCTGTTTAGTGAGATGGGATTATAGATGATAAATTGTAGTTTATTGATTATTCAGCCACCTTTTAGTTCTGAATAGGAAAATGGTACAGCTTGCCTTTGAACCTCATAGACTCATTTTCAATTCCTGACTTTAGCTTTGGTTGTGTGAATCCCTGTGGTGCTCATTGCCATTTGTTAGGTAGCCTGCTTCAGCCTGTTTTAAAACTTCAGTACACAAACTTCAGTAAAGGATACATTGGCAACTCTTAGATGTTCACCATTGTTCACCATTGTTCTCCGTGTACTAGTACAATTTTTAAAGGTCCACAATATATGGTTCCTATTCTACAAAAGAAAAATGTTTGGAATTCCAGGCTTTATACTGAAAATGATTCTGATAATTCAAATTACAATAGATTAGAACATAATAACACGTGTTGATAATGTGGTGCAAACAACAGCAAGGAATACATGACTTTGAAAATACAATGTCTATAGACGTTAATATGAAAACGTCTGGTTGTGTTAAAAAGTATTTAAAAAAAAGTATGGGCTGAGTTTCAGACCATCTCATATTGCTAAGCATACTCACTGTGTATTTTTAGTATGCACTTTACAAGCTTTAGACCTTTTTTATTTTTGTTGATCCACTTAGTGAGAGGATTGTTACAAGCTTACTGAGCAAAAATGACAAATGAAACTGAATCATGACCAGTAGGAATAAAGGAATAACTTCTGGTAATAATCTCAGAAGTGAACCCAGCATAATCTGTAATCTTATCATTTTCCCTCAGACATTCTCATTCTGAAAAATTATACCTATACATTTGTATATAAGCGCAAACCTGACGTTTTACACATTTCTGCATTTAAAATTCAACAGGCCGCTCTGTAGTTTCATTTTTCAAAAGCAAAGCAGTTGACTGTTTAATTAAAATGATTAATTTTATTAAAATGATCCAAGGCAAATTGGAATATCCTTAAATGACCACTTAGGAAAAAGCTTTTATATTCAAATACACATTTACAAGGAGCTCCAACAAGGGGTTGGTCCCCCAGCAAAGAATGAAATCCTCGCATTTGTTGTGATATGTTTGTGCTGTTGAAAGTAGAATCTTTAATTTTTTTCAATGCCGCTCAAACATCTATTGTATTGCATTTAATAAAGTCTTGACTTGACTGACGGTTATTCAGTGTGTATTACTTTAAATCAGCTTAAACAGCTCATCCCCTTCCATCCACACAACTGAGGATATTGCAAATAGGCTTTGTAAACGGATTTTCTTCACTTTGTATCATGCTTACAGTAATAGCCTTGAATGAGGTGATTTCAATTTGTGTCTCAGTGAGACAGAACACGTAGTGCATCCTTGTGTTAACACAGAAGCAGTGGGTGGAGGGCCTTTTCAGGTGATGGAGCACTTTAATGGATAATTTGTACAAGGTTTATAATTTCAGGGAAATATTCTTGTTATGTATGTATTCTCTACTTGAACAAGTAAGGGAAAATAGAGGGAAAAAATTATTTTAAATAATTTGGAAAGTTGTAATGTATTATGAAACCCCAGTCCAAAGTAATTTTACTTCAATTCTTTTAAATCACATATAGCATGAAGCATTTAGAGCTCATCAAGATTTTTTTCTGGGCGCTTGTTTGAAGCTCTGCTTTTCTGACATTTATTTAGTCAGTCATGATTTTATACCATCTCCTTTTGTCACACCTGTGTATTGCTTAATCTTTTTTACATTCTTTTTTCATAATATTCATAGTAAACTAGAGCTTATTTGTACTGTTAAAAGATTTGTACTTTTTATATCACATTTTGTTAACCAGTTTTAATAATTGGTGTTCTTGGTGTGTACGCAATAAGTAAAGTACAAGAAAAGCAATACTGCAGTGCATGTACAAAACAGTGATCTGTTGCCTTTGATATATGCGTTACTTTAAATTTGCACACGCAGTATATATTTTGTTAAATCACTGTTGTAGATTTGTGACAACTTTATCTCATGTCAAAGCGTTTATACTCTTCCTGAAAGCACCCACCCAGCTGAACTAAATTAGCACTCCTAGCAGACTATACATGCTGGGACATTTGTTGTGAGCTGTTAATTATGTTGGATGGCGAATGGCTTAGTTTTTCGTATACAATATGCCTTCTACTCTAAAGGCAAAGGTAAAAAATGGTCGATTTCTATAAAGCATTTTCTCACATGGTTTAATATATCCACTGTTTTTAAACTAATCTGTAATTTATTTAAAAAAAAACAGAAATTAAAAGACATACATTAGAAATTCTTCAGAGATATGGAAGTTTTAAGAGATTCATATGTAACAGTATATTAGGGTATTAAGAAACAGAGACAGCAGGATTACCATTACCTGTTATTGAACCAAGGATCATATTACAGTTATTTCTTTTCTGTTTTTGATATGTTACATAAAACCTATAGACTGGAGCCAGGTAGATATTCCTCTAAAAGCCTATGACGTTAATCTCTGATTTAGTCACACAACCCTGGTGATCCAGATGGCAGGCAGCACTGAGAGGCATTGTCTCAAGACAGAATTTACCTTGTACTGGCAATGAATGTAGTTATCTCAGTGTGCTGAAGGGGTTCACTATTTGATAAGAGCGGAACGAGTCATTTTTCACTGACTAGTTTGATGCACTTTTTTGAGTGGAAATGAACCACTTTAAACATAAATCCTGCTATAATTCAGTACAGTGTAAGCAGTGCAAAATTGTATTTATTCCAAACAGTAAAAGCTGCTTCAAGTCTGCAACACCATGTTGTTAATTTGTTGTGTTTCGGGAATTTATACAAGAAAGTAAAACTTAAATGTATCAATGTTCTTGTCTGAAATTTGTTAACATTCAAATTAAGTGTTAGGAATTATTATTATTATTATGATTAATATTATTAGAATTATTCAGTTAGGTTATTCAAATGACTTTAGGAAGGCACATGTACTGTACAGAACTGCTAAATCTGTAGTGAATCTCATCACATATTTAACATAAAAGTATGTTTCATTGAATGTGTACTAAATGTGTTGAAATTTGAAATTGAAATCTGCCTCTCTCTTATTATGCAGTTTGATGTAAAAAATCAACGCACTTTTCTAAGAAGGACGAAGTATGATGAGCTGTGTCAAGAAGATCTCTTTGTGGGCAACCGTGTGATTGTGTTTTCACGTCAGCTTGAGCTGATAGGGTATGGGGACCAGTACACGGCAGGAAAGATGGGCAGCAAAAAAGAAAGGTAAAGTGGAACCATTAAAAAGCACAAGTTTATTATATACTGTATCTTCATTCAGCACATGCTCACTTGAGTCTGAGCCCACATTCACATTTACAGAACTCTCTCTGGAATCTGCCAGTCAGTGAACACCTTAAAGATGAAATGGCTACCCAAGGGGGAAAACAACTACAGCTTTAGAGCTTGCATGACATTATTCAGTTAAACGTTTGTAAAACAGTATGCCAGGCTGACGATTTGAAAGGTTTTTTACTTTGTCTCCATGCAGGGTCTCGTATTGATAGAGTAAGTATTATATTGATAGTGAATTTGTGATAGTGAATTTTTAATTTGCTGCACTTTTTTTACTGAAATTATTAAAATTAGTTCAGAAATGCTTGTGTTGTGTCCATTGCACGTTGTTGCACACTGTACTGTTTTATTAATATTAGTGCATATTCCATCTATTAGTTTGCATTATGTATACACAAAAATAAGATAATGTAGTCATTGTTAAATTAGCCAATATTTTCCCTACCTCTAGTGTAGAAGTTGAAAGCAAATTAATATATTTTTTAATTATTGGACATTAACTTTGAGGAAAGAAGATGACAGCAATTATTGCAAAAAAGCCTGGTACATCATTCCTTAAAGGTCTTTATTTAGTCCTTTTTAAAGGATAATGTATGGTTAGTATTCAGTCATACTCATTTGCAAAAGGTTTGTATAAACCATTCTCGATATTTCACTGGGTTCTTTTTTTTAAGCAGTATAGTTAATATAGGTAACTTTTAATAAAAATTAAAGCTAAATATATATGGTCGTATAAACCATTTCAATAATGATAATGCACTGCATGAATGGTTGCTGTCAGTGTTATATATAGTTGTCAACTACTGTCAAGGGATGATGAATCAAAAAATAATTTATATTCCATTTCTAAAATGGATAAAAATGCATTCTATGCTGCTGAAACGTTTCAATACTCAAAATGCTCTAGCTACCCAGAGGAAGTTAACACCTTCAATTTTTAAACTCAAAGCTTTTTGGCTTTGTGATGCAGTTAACATCCCTACATGTAAAATCCCTGGTTTGTGTCCTTGTAAGGCTTCTGTACTTCATAGCCATCTTGGCTCAAGGCTCCTGCAAAATCCAGCACAAGGTCAAGATAGTTGCTAATTACCAAACAAATCAATTAAAGGTTAAACAGGTCACACTTAGTGTAGATAGGCTATAAATAAGCTTGGTGCTTTCCATTGTTTATATTGCGTGCAGTATTAATATACAGTAACAATACACAAGTTGTTTTCTTGTGTTCATTTGTTTACTTTCATCTGTAAAACATAAACATCTAGCAATTTTGTCACATTTCAAGGCTGGTAACACAACTGCAATACATGAAGAATAGATCCATATTTTCTTCAGAAACTGCAAATAACATGTCAAACACATCTTTTTTTCCCCGAAGGATAAAAATATCTCTCCCATTGCAGCTACATGTAAATTAATCAGGTGACATAAACCAATATTAAAGTTTTATGATTATATAATAGATAAATGGATAAAACATTGATAATGGATTTTGTTTGTGCACCAAAAACGTAAACATTAAAATGGCCAAGCTGACGAGCTCAATAAAGATGAAACTAAAGCAGTATTGAGAGAGACAGACAAGGCGAAAGACTAATGTCTTTGAAAGTAAAATGGTGAGTAGCTGTAAAGACTATAAAATGGAATATATTAACCACAGCTATGAATTCTGTTTTTCTTTTATTGAGGTAATAGTTTTCTTTAAACGATAGAGGAAAAACTGATGGGCATATGTGTTAAGAACTGCAAAAGAAAAGTGATTATTCATCTTCCGTCTATGTGCATTTCTCAGGTTACAGTGAGACCAGGCTAAGGCATCTCCTTTCACCTTAAATATATATTTCAATAAAGGAAATAAAAAATGTTTTTATAATAAATAAATGGTTAGTTAAAATACAGAGAGCTTTTCATGTGTAATATTCGGAATTTCTGATGTAATCTTCAACTAAGCGATTTCTTAACCATGCGTTTTTAAAACCTATGTTCAAAAAACCCCAATAAGATGCTTATTTCACTAAGAAATGATTAAATATAGTAACAAAAGGCATCGATGTTGTGTACTGATATCTGTTTTTATCTTTGTGTAGACTCTCATTATTCTCATTTTGTATTACCTGCTTGGACTTAAATTAAACCCTTTTGCTGTTGGCTAAATATTCATGGGTTTGTGACTGTCATGACAGGCCTTGATGACTGGCAATTTATTTTTCTTCCTAGCTCCAAAGCAGAGTAGCTGGTGCTGTGATGGTGATGACTCATACTCTGCAACTCTATGGGTTACGGTTATGCATACTAAACACTTATCAAAATCTCACATTCATCCCCATACTTCAGGGACTTCCCAAAAGTATATTAAACATATTTACAACTAGGCTCTGTAGAAAATTATAAAAAGGTTTAATTATTTTCACATGGTAAGAAATGTTTTCTTTTTTTGCAATTTCAGAATTGAATGTGTAAAATTATGAAAGCATACAATCTTATCATCCTGAAAAGGCATTCTTTGCTTTGTTTTTTTCTCTAGAACTCTTGCTATAATAAAGCCTGATGCACTGATCAAGATGGGCGACATAATTCAGATGATATATGATGCAGGCCTGATGATAATCAAAGCAAAAATGTCCAAAGTGTCATGGTAAGGAACATAATTTTGTACTGAGTAATGTATCTATCTGTTTGCACTCTTTTGCTAGAGAATCATTTTGTGGTTAAAGATGTACAGTATGATGATGATAATATGATTCTAGAGAATAGTCAACATGGATTTAGAAAAGGTAGGTCTTGTTTTAGTAATGTTCTTTTAGAGCACAACAGAGGTTATAAAACATAGCAGGCAATTATAATATGGAAAAGGGAATTTGATATGAAATATTTAAATTTTAGATTTTCAGAAGGCTTTTGATGAAGTTCTTCAAAATATTCTCAAATTACCTATGGTAAAGAATCAGGGAAATAACACATCCAGCATAAGACAGTTAATACAAATCTAACCAAAACTGAAAAATCCAAGTGCTTAATTGAATGATTCAATTGGAGTTTTGTCATTAGTGGAGTACTCAATGGGTCCGCTTTGTAATTTGACTTTGCAAAAATATTGGCTTTGCAGAATGCTTCGCAGAAATATTCAGACCCTTCCTATGGTGTCCCGTTTTGCAAAATTATAAAATGATACATTCCGTTTAATTAATATCATAGTATATTATTCAAATCCTTAATACTCAAATGGAAGACTTCCGTGGGTAACACGTTACAGTAAATGTTTGCAAAATTTAAAGAGAAAAAGGCAAAATAAGACGGAGGCCATTCAGCTAATTATATGGCTCATTAAGGTAGATTTGTGCACCTAAATTAATTTATAAGTTCCACAGGAAAGGGTTTAATACTTACACAACCACATTGTTTCCATTTTATGTTTCATATTCACTACAACGGTGCATAGGTTTGAATACTTTATGAGGCACTAATACAAATGAAAAATGGAAAAGGCATACTTACAGTACTCCTCAGTTTTTGAAAAATATGCAGATTAAAATTACATATTCCATAAATCTTACAAATATCCTTATAGTGAAGACAGCAGGAGAGAATAATGTTTAAACAGCAAAGCACATAAAGACCGGAAGGCTGTTTTGTTTGGAACTTTGAGCAACCCTGCTGTTTAACAGTTCATCATCATTATAAGAGCATTGCAGTAAGGTGATACATAACATAAGTAAAGTGAATGTCAGAAAATTTTAATTGAAAGTAAAAGAATGAGTAAGTGTTTACAGTATGTTCTGTGCTTACCTCTGGAAACAAAAATATACAAATTAGCTGAAGCTATTTTTTATGATGATGATTAAATTATGATAGCCTGTTATGGCTCATGACCTTAAGAAGTCAGATTAAAGCTTACGAAATATATTCTTTTGTGGAAAATACTATGCATTTTCATTCAATTTAGACATTTTCCAAACCAAGATACAATCTTTAGTAATATGGGATAGTAAAATACAGGTAATAATTTAGTTTGAAGAAAATCTGTATTTTGCTGTGATCAGCACTGACAATTAAACCATGCATTACATGGAAACAGCTGATCCAAGTTGACTATTTTTTTCCTTTCAAATAGCTGAGTTGCAAGTTTAATAGCTGTGAGGCTGTATGAGACATTAAAACCATTAGCTTGAGTGCAAAATTAGCTCTGGGTTTTTTAATTCCAGATAAAACTATTTTTCAACAATTCTTTTCTCATTTTTGAGCTGACATATTTTTTGTTTTCAGATATAACTCTGGAGGAAAAAGGTATATATACATATATTTGAGCTTTTTATTTCTTAGTATTCATACATTTAGTACCCCTTTGGGTTTTATTACTGGATGTAAATCTTTTCACTTGCTTTGTGTATACTTTCTGCATGTCCAATTTGTATTCCTTTCGTAACGGGAGAAAAACTAAGTGCATGCAGTTGGATGTGTTTCCTTGCATCAGGGGTTGTGTGAAACTCCATACATAAGATTTAAACCTTGCCACAGTCTTGAAGGGAAGTAACCACTGCAGCCTGAGCTGTTTCAAAGTCCAACCTACAACTCTGTCATGAGGTTGATCCAATGTCATTATTGTAGCAGGGACCTGATTGCACCTGCTAATTTTTTACCCTCAGTAGTCTCACTAACTAATATTTCTGTTTTTCTAGGAATATCCAGTATTTCTGAGATTTAACCTTTACACATTTTTTTATTTTGTGTAATATGTGTTTTCTAAGTATTTAACTTACTGTTCATTGAATCTTCTTGTCCTGGCAGTAATTTATATGATAGTTCATATGAATATCAACATCTATATGACTGTTACTTAGGTAATCATTGACATAGACCATTACCTATTAAAAATCCAGTGGGTCCACTTTTCTTTGCTGTTAACTTTATGGCAATGCCCTATGTAATTCATTTGCTATGAAGTAGATAGTTTACCTGCAGGGAAAATGTTAGAGGTGTAATGTACACTTTTTTCTAATACTGCTTTCTAAGCATATTTTAACAATCCACAGAAATAAATATAGTGATTTTTGTATATCCAGAAACGCATAAGGTCAAACCACACTTTCTGAAACCACACCACTATTGTATAAAAAGTTGCCCTCCTTGTATTGTCATGTTAAAAGATTTTGTTATACATGTTGTTTTGTGTTGAACCTAGGTCCTAAGAACTAAAAGTCTGGAAAAGATAAGGAATTACTAGACCAATTCACCTACTGTACATTCAGTAGTGTTTGTGTTCATTCTTCAATTCATGTGGTAATATTGGTAAGCCATACATTGGCTGCCCAGATTTTACGTGCAGAACAAATATGACACTCTTAAATTTAAACTTAGTGTTGCTTTGATGAGAATTATTTCTCTTATTAGAATGAGAAGCACTTCATGAAGAAATCATTTACCTTAAATGTAACTGTACCTTAAAGTCAATTACATTTCTCAATGCACAGGCCTAGTTTGGGTATTTATATTATATAATCTGGCAAAGGAAATATGTTATATAAGAACAATATAAATTGTTCTTAATCTTTCGCCCTATATCTTATTTAAGATGACTTCCTATATAAATAATATAGATGTGGTAGATTTACTCACTCGATTTACTCTTATTATATGGTTGAATACAACTGTATAAAAGAATATATTCCAAGGAAACTACTAAGAGATTTTTTTTGTCTGTGAGAGGAGAAAAACGTCATTACCTGAGCGTAAATTCTTGCTAACCAAGTGATTTTTTTTGTCATGCTGGTGCTGTGCTGTCAGCTGAAGGTGACAAGCAATGCAGGAGCTAAAGGACTCACTTCATAACTCATTAACTATTTTTATGGCTTTCTTTCAGGAAAGAGGCAATGGACTTTTATGCAGAACATCAGTCAAAGTCTTTCTTCAAGTGAGTGTTTCCTGAGTGAATAATTGACCTTTCTTTAGGACTGGGGTTGAGATTTCAAGGAGAACTGAAAGCCACACCATAGCCATCAGCATTCCCGTGACATTGCTGTGACTTTGCAGTATTTTCTCTGTATTGTCTACACCAGAAAATCGCTGCCTTATAGTTTTGCTGTGAAATTGGAGTAAACATTTCCTGCCAGGGATTTGTTAAAAATGCTGATAAAAAAGGAATCAAAATGTCATATTGGAAACGCACGTGTCATTCACATTCAAAGAGTTTGAGTCAGGTAACATCATGTATTAGTAAGTTTACATTGCTTATGTAATTACAGCATCTGCATCCCACTTCCTTATTTTTAATTTTAGTCAGACATTCAGCTTTGTTTTCTAATACTGTACATGTCTTTTAATCCTTAATCAGTGATTTTCCCTTCACCCATATGGAACATACATTTTTGTACCTAACACATCAGTAGAAATCAGACTTTGGGTTCTTCTTTTTACTGTTTAAATAAAGTTTAGGTATGGCCTTAATATTTCTGATTTTTCCAATTAAGTCAGAATTCACAAATAAGACTTGGATTTATAAAGTTACTACAACCTTATGAAGAACTGAATATTCAGTGCTAGATTGCATATTTAAAATGCTGTATTAGATTCCTTTTTTTATCTACAATTGTTTTCACTTTATTTCTCCTCCATACAATTTGGGTGTCATTGCATGACAGACAGATAAAAATGCATGTCACCTATGAGATGTGCATTTTCAAGCCATAAACCTTTTTTCACATTTTGAGCTCTGTTGCATCTGATCGTTTGCATTGCATCAAATGCTTAATATTAGGAGCCATAGGAAAATCCTGATCTCTCTGTATGCCATTGCTGCAGAATCCAGTAATTGATCTTTATAACCAGAGTATTTGCTATACTTTAATTATACATGAAAAGTAAAGTAGCATTTAGGACATTTTTAGTCTCTTGTGCACCACCAAGTACTAGATATAAACAATTGTTTCGTCAGATGGTCCTCTTTCACCAGAGATTCTTAATTTCTCTGTCTTTTACACTAAAATAACTAAATTTTATATAAAGAACAGTTGGATTAATGCACGTCTCCATGTGTCTTTATCATATGTTCCACCATTAAAGCATAGGCTTTGGTCACCATAGGAGGAGGTAAAAAAATATCCATTAAGATATACCATAGCTGGTACCTAAAAGTTAATGCATTTTGTAAATCTGACATATTAGAAGTCAGAAGTGTGATATTGATAAGACTGATTGTTCTTTTAACTAGACAGGTGATGTCTGTAAATCTCTCTCTGGTCTACAGTAATCTCATGCAGTTTATGACCTCTGGCCCTGTTGTTGCCATGGAGATAATGGGGGATGAGGCCGTGGCTGCCTGGAGGAGACTCTTGGGACCAACCGATTCAAGTGTGGCTCGCAATGAAGCACCAAACAGCGTGAGGGCAAAGTTTGGCACAGATGGCACCAAGAATGCTGGGCATGGGTCCGATTCACTTGCCTCAGCAGCAAGGGTATGTGTGTTTTTGGGGACCATAAAGAAACTGTCGGTAGTACCACTGTTTATGCCATGTTCAAAGTTTGCAAATACTACACCAGATATTGGAAGAGGTACAGATAAATGAGCAAATATTGTGAAACTTTTAAAAACATTCTTGTGTTATAAAAAATATTAGCCATTTTGGTTTAGATTCTAAAAGTTTGATGGTGTACAAACATTAAGCTTTTCATATTACCTACATATCTTTTTTAAAATATGTACTGTAATTAGTTAAGTCCCATGTGTCTGATCTATATCTGTATCTCCTATGCACTTTGTGTTGTAGAGATTTGTTTTGAAAGGCAGTAACATGTTCAACACAAGTCTTTTTTTTATTTATTGGTTTTAATATTAGTGAATTGCTTGTCATAATTTGCACTGTTATAATTTTTGCTGATACATTATTAGGATGTTTTATGTAAAATTTTGATTATACCCCTGCACAGTAGCTTTCAATAACTATTATTGGAACAAGTAAAGGTTTATTCCATGCTGAAAAGAGAAGAAAAACACAGAATTTCGGCTGTGGAGCCTTTTTCGGTATGACCACACCCGAAGAGGTTGTGTTTTTCAGCATGGAATAAACCTATACTTGTTCCTTTGCAGCCTACGCATGTTGATGCAGCTACCTACGTGAATAACTTTTAATGTCCTATAAAAAAGAATATATTTCTTTGACCTGAAAAGAAACTGTTTCTTTTGCCTAAATCTCAAAGGTATAGGTATATCGTTAGTACAGTTGTATAATATGAACTGTGCCAAAGTAGAAGGAAATTGCTATTTTAATGGTTTTTCAGGGGATTTCAGTTATGTTTGGAGGTGAGCATCTACACTACGTCTATACGTATGTATGTGTACCTAATAAAGAGTTAATTGAGTAATTTCCATAACCCACTTCATATTGTCATTATTTTAAGAAATGCTTTTGGTTTTCCTATGAAGACGAACTAGAAACAAACTTCTGAATTAAATACCTATTGAATTTGCCTTATACAACTAAAACAATCAGAATCTGAAGATGAATAAGCATAATGACCTGTCTGCCTGTGATTGTATAATAGTTGGTCTCACAGATCAAATTTTAAAATCCTTTAGGAGCACCAGCTTTCTAGAAGTTAATGCAAAATAGAATATTAATATAAATATTAAGATTATCTAATTTTAATCTTGTGAATCTTTTTTCTATACATATCAGATTCTTACCCTGTATATGTAAATCTGATTCTGAGTCTACACAAATAGAGATTCTTTTCAGGCCTTACCTTTTGTTATTATGTTCTGTATTGTTTCTAATAAATTCTGTTAAACTGTTTTAAGAGCAGAAACACATTTCTTCTTATTCCTGTCATTCACTGCTGTTTTCTTTTTGAAAAAACATGAAATGTGAGATGTTCTGAGATAATATTTTTTATTTGTCCTAATTTTTATTTTCCGTAGACACCGCTTTTGTGATATGATGATTTTCAAACTATTCATTACAAACTCTATAAAGACGTTCCTGCTATTTATTTTTCTACTTTTTTTCCTCAGGAGCTGGAATTATTCTTCCCATCAACTACTGGTCGTGGCCCTTCCAACACTGCAAGATTCACAGATTGCACGTGCTGTGTTATTAAGCCACACGCTATCGCAGAAGGTAATCTATTGTTAAATGTATGGTATTACTTACCATGTCCTCTAGGTTAAAGTTCAAGTCTTCTTTTGCACCTTTGTCTATGTTGTGATATGTCAAATTCAGTTGAATATAATGGATATAAATTATATTACTTTGTTTATTGAAAACTTCCTGTAAATGGGTTGTTTTATATTATTTCATGTGTCTCCAATGCAAAGGGATGCACTATATTTTTCCACTTGTTGGAAAGCTGTATACTCCAGTGCAGTGACATTAAATCTTTAAAGCCAGCATTGGGTGCTAAATAAATGCTAAAGGGTTTTCCCACTCCACTTCAATCTGTCACAAAACAAAACTCAAGCAAAGTTCAGGACAGATTAGTTCAATATATAATAATTGTGAGCACCAGGACATCTCTGTAATGCTATACTACTGATTCATAAATTATCTTCTCAATGCATCCTCCTAAGCCAGGAAAGTTGTATTGACTTTTTTAAGCATACACAGTGCAGTGTCTGTGGACATTCTGATTGTCTGTATGCAAACACCAGCTTTGGGCAAAGGCATCCTTGCAAGTTACTATGGAGCAATATTCAACATTGAGAAATGTCATTTCTCCATGCTTGACTCTTAAAAACTAAAGTACCAAACTTTGCCCATGGGCACTATATACTGTAGTGGGTTAAGTAACATGAAGAATGATTAGAAAATGTATAGATAAGTGAGAAAAGATAAAAGACTGTAGATGAATAAATAAAAACATTGGTAGTGTGTTTACATAACACATTGTACAACGTGATTATTGTTGGGGTTTCAGAAATAAATGAGGATGTGATGTCCGCTTAAAGAACCATATTTTTCCAGGGAAGAAACAGTTAACAGAACACTTGTTCTTTGTACAGGACATATTACAATATTAAGTACTCTCTGTTCTTCCTCCTTATTGTTTCTCTGGTAAAGTTAATGTTTCTTTCTTTAAACAAATATTTTTTGGGGGATGGTTTGACCCCTTCTGCCTTTTCTCAGTCTTTTTGTGTTGTACATTGATAAGAGTGTGTCATCACCTGAGTCATTGCTTAATTGAAACCAGCTTTTACGTCGATTTGCTACAAATCCATGGTCTGATCTTTGTGTATTAAGCATACCAGTTGCCTGGTGACCTGTGAAATCACGGAAATCCTCTGAACTGAGCAGACCTGGATCAGGTTTTTTGCAAATGCTGCTACTGGGTAGTTGTTATTGTACTAAGTTCCTGGGACATGAGTCATTTACTAAACAAAAAATGTTTTTTCACAATAGTGAAACCTTTTTATTCTAACACCAGTAGCCACAGTCTATATCCATTTACCCCTAATTACAGTCTATATCTAACAAGTTACATGTATGTGAGGTGTTTCTTTACTAAAATCTGCTTCATGCACTGGGCATTTACTCTGTGCTTTGTAATACTTTCAAATCATTAAAAGAAGCTAAAGATTCAGAGATAACTACATGATAACATTTGTTTTTTAACTAGCTTTCTAATTTACTCCTGGATCACATCCAGTTTCTAATGTTTGTGCTGAACAAGAAAGTGAAGGATTTTTAGCAAGAAGAGACTGTCTATCACTCATGTATTTCTTATGTACTAAAACATTGTTCTAAATCATGAGTATGTCAGAAAACAAGACCACAATCTGGATGATACTGTTCATAGTTTAACTATATTGTTTTAGTATTTTTATATTGAGCAATGAGAATGTGTGTACTAAAATGCAAGGCACTAAAAAACAATGCAGGCATTTCAGATACTGCTCTTTGGTCATGTTGGCTTCTAGGATAGGATTTTGATGTGTTAAAATAATAAATTGTGACAGTAAAATAAACAAGAGTGATTTAGTCATGTGACTTTAACCAGTCAGATATGGACTTGTCTGTGTCTTAGGTAATTATGGAACCCCTCTTAGATGAAGTTTGACATGTGTAGCCTCTGTGGAACCTGATAGTTCAATGAGTCATACAGGGGAGCTACACATGGTAGCCTTATAACAATCTTAAAATGAAAGAGGCTAAATTAAATGAAATAAATACCAAAAGCACAGAGTTCATGTCTGACTGGTGATAATCAAATTGAATTGACTCATTTAACCATTAGGTACTGCAGAGGCTTTGTGTCTTTCTTACAACTCATAACTTTCCTGCCTATAAACAGTGAAAAATAAATTGTCAGGCCATAATTTAGATGTGTGGTGTCCAGTCCTGAACTGGAGATGTATTTGCAGCTTTTCATTCCAACTCTGCAGTTAATGAGCTCAACCTGTAGGTTATTCTTTTAACTGTAATGATTTTCTTCCAGCTCCCATGTGCTGCTGCTTTCAAGAGACCTCAAAAACCCACAGATACACAGGATTGAACACCACTGATTTAGACTGTAACTGGGCTCACATTTTACTTGATAGATTGTGTGAACAGTATGTTTTAAACAGAGCCTCAATAAAAGACAAAAAATCTGGTGGAAAACAACAGACTGCGATGAAAAATACATCAGCATTTGTACAAGACAGTGCAGATTGCTTTGTGGGATAGACTAATGATAATCCTTACAGAGAGAGCATTGAAGATTCTGTGATATCCATGTATTGTAAACCATTTTAAAGTTTTCTTCTTAATTTTATTCACTTCAAACAAAAGGACTTAAAAAACTGTTGTGTTATCCAGACTTTTTAAATTTAAATTCATTTTTGTGCCAAAAACTTAAGAAGTTACAAACAAGAAGAAGGTGTTTAGTTGATAGTGTGAGGATCTCACCCTACTGCCATATATAACAAAATGTCAGGGTATCTGCTTCAACAACTTTGTTGGATAGCTGGTTCCAGCTATGAGGTCACACACCCCAAAAAAACATAATAATGCTTAATAATAAAACTTAAAAACGTAATAAATCAGTCAATATTTCCAGATAAAACACATATACTGGTGTGAAAATAAGTCAAATAATTATTACAGTTATGAGAAATAAATATTGAATGAAATCCGACAGTGGACAGCACAGTGTCACGGTATCATAGCTGCCTTGCAGCACTGGGCTCCTGGGTGCTCTGGGTTCCTCTGCCAGTGCAAAGGTATACTGGTTATGGTAGGATAACTGGCTTTCTGAGGTAACTGGCATGATGTGTCTGTGCTCTGCGATGGGCTGGTGACCCCTCCAGAGTGTATCCCACCATTTGCATTGGATATTGGATAAAGTGGTTAACAAATGGGCGGAAGAATGAAACCTGGGAATTCTAGAAGCTGTATTTTGTACATATATTCATGTTATCATTGTGCTCCTAGTTAGTTGATCTCTTCAGTATATGCACTACATCATTTATTAGTAATCATGTAGGCAGTTATTTAGAACATTATACCACCATTTAAAATTCCCTAGTTGCAGTTCATGCTTTTCTATATATTTCTTTTGCAAAAAAATGATATTTTACATACAAGCACAACAAATAATAAAGAGCAATGCTCAAATTGTTGGTGTAGGAGATGAAGGAATTAGTGACAATTGTTTAAACTTAAACGGGAGTGTCTCTAGTACAGTTTCAGAAAGAATAACAAGAAGAATTCTCCATTCTGCAGAATGCCAAAGACAGCTAAAGATACATTTAACTCTATGATCTTTATCTTTCTGATGGGCATGATCACTTTGTCCACTACAGTGTCTGTGTGTCTGTGTGTCTGTGTGTCTGTGTGTCTGTGTGTCTGTGTGTGATTAAACAGCTCCTGTTTTATATCTAGTGGCTGTGCAGTTCTGTTTGTATAGATAACAAAATTAAACAACAGGTGTCAGCTCTTCTTTTTAAATGGTTTGTTATCGCACTCTGAAATTTCTAAGGAGGAGCTGTCTTCCCTGTGGCTGTTGCCATTATGAAGAATTCAGGTGGGTAGCTGCGTCAGCATGCGTAGGCTGCAAAGGAACAAGTAATAGGTTTATTCCATGCTGAAAAAAAGAAGAAAGAGAACACAACGTTTCGGCCATGGAGCCTTCTTCAGGTCTTCACACCTGAAGAAGGCTCCACGGCCGAAACGTTGTGTTCTCTTTCTTCTTTTTTTCAGCATGAAATAAACCTATTACTTGTTCATTATGAAGAATTGCCTCTCAAGCAGTCTCTATCTGTTAACAGCAGTCAGTGAATTACAGCTTGCTTGTACTCTCAATATGTTTACGTGAACTGGGTCACATTTTGCATTTTGGTTCATTATAGTCTACTTTAAATGTGCCTCACAACTTTGAATAATTTATTTTGACATACATACAAATATTTGGACATTAACCATATACAGATATGGACTTGGTCACATTATGATCTTCTTCATCAGCTTCAAAGTAAGATCATGGTAACACAGTTGGTTTGCATATCACGAGTGATAAAAATATATGTTATATATATGTTAAAGATTATTTTTGCATAAAGCAAATAAGATTTATGTTAACTGGCTTTATAATAATTTTTTTATTAGTGTTGAATAAGGTTTGGGATATATAACCGTATGTGCAAAAGTGGCAAGTGCTTTTTCTTTGTAGGAAATCCTTGATAGTGACCTTGAAATAAATATCCCACCTTACTGTTTTGTCTTGTGACAAAATTGTATTTTTATTAATGTGACTTTGATTAAAGTCAAATTTTAAAGTTTTCCTTATTCTTTTCTTTATAAATGTTGGAAAGATATAATTTGATTCTTTATCACTTTTTGCATTAGATCAAGGCTGCTTTTCAAATTATTGAAGCGTTGAAGCATGCTTGAAGCATTTTTCCCCTGCCAGTTAAATGAGCTCTGCAATCTATCCAGAAATTACATATCCTAATCATTTCAGGATGTTTTTATAGGAAATAGAACATTTAGATGTAAATATCCTGAAGCACTAGGTTGCAATCAGAACTGAGATGACTGTTACTGTAATAAGCTAAATTAATTTATTCAAAGTAGTTTGACATGTCATTAACTGAGTATAATCAAAAGTAAGCATACAGTGCCCTCCAGATGTATTCACATCC